CCCCAAAACCCCAAAACCCCAAAACCCCAAAACCCCAAAACCCCAAAACCCCGTGAGGATAACTTTTTATTGAATCTTAGATAATTTCATAATAATCAAGCCCTTATAATTTCTTTTTTGAGAACACTATAAATATAACATGAGTAAATTTAAATTCGTTGTAAACTTACATGATTTTTTGGGCATCTTTGACAGCTTCTTGGCATGCGGTTTCAAAGGATTGTTTCCTATCGAACCTTTAAATTATTAATTAACAACTGAGGTAACTAATTTACTTACTTCTTGGATGATAGATTGCTGGTATTCTATCATTGGTCCCATTTCTGTTTGTAAGATCTCCAGTCATATTCCTTGAATCAAAAGTAGACTGAATTCGTTGTACTCTGGTAACTGTTGAAATGCCTCCTCCTCCTTCTTTTGTTAATGCAAATAAGCTGACTGAATAATATTATAAAGTGAACTTACTTAATCCAACTCCAAATGTAACTATCAAATTTGAAAAAACAAGGACAAGGTATAGATATTTGACAAATCTAGTCCACTCAAACCTGTCATTGAAAATGAGCAATATGAATATGAGTATATAGTACACAATCTCGTTGACTATCTCCACTAGTCTGTCTTTCAGATTGACAAATGATCTCATGCTTGCTATTCAGGCAATATAAGCTGTTTGAATTATTAAGAAGAGGAAAATCTTCAAATATTTTCCTTGATTCACCATAAAGAAGACTAGAAATCCAAATAAAAATCTCCTTGTGTAAAAAGCAGCTAAGAAATACTTTTGCCACCAATGAGATCTCAGCCCTCTAAAGAATGGAGAAGGGCCTTTGGATTCTTTAATTTTCAAAAATGGGGCTGTTCAGAAGAATGCAATTCATGCGATAGAATAAAGCATCAGAAGTACAGCAAAAACTGTAGATAGGGTATTCCCATTTTTATTTCCTTCTTGTAACTCAGTCATTGATATTAAGACAATGAACATATAAGTATACTGCGAATACCAGACTACAATTCTTAGGGATACAGCAAAGTCACTAAGTTCTTTGAGAACTTTACCCCACCATTTATTAGCTTTTTCTTCAAGATTCACAAAGTACTGGATAAGAAACATGATAAAGAAAAAGAATACACCAATTAGTATTCCTACCACGATTCCAATACAGTTCATGAAGGAGCTTCCATTCTCTATTAATGCATAATTCCTGTCTGTTCCATTTGATTCAAATCCAAATGTACCGTTAAAGAAGTCATATACTTTAGTCTGGTCGATTCTTAAGAAGTAGAATGAAAGCAAAACCTCTCTTAAATGGAATAATGTTCTCCTAGTTATAAGAGGGATATAAGCTCCTAATTCTGGTAAGAGCATTATAAGCTGGGCCTGTGCTAATCCAGCAGATCAACTTTGTGCAGTACTACTTATAAATATTGAGTATAATGTATGAATGATTGTATTCCCGAAGATGAGAATATAGAACGATGATGAAAAGAATAGTGTTTCATTTTCATCATAGATTTCTAATGATGTAACTCACTTAAATTTATTGTTGTTAGGCTCATAATTTACTGTACAAGCTTCACAAGTATCTTTTTCTTCCTCAGTACCGCCATATCAAACATAATTATCTTCAATTGTGCAATTAGAAGCTCATCCATCTGAAGAAATTATATTCCCATCATCTCATTCTTCATCACCTGCTCTAAAGCCATCTCCTCATATAGTTATTCAATTTTGCTTTGCTGCATCATTATGATATCCTTGTGGGCAAACTTGTCAAATATCAGGATCTGTAGTGTTTCCATTATTTCAAATAGAATCTGTTTCTATAGTTCATGTTGAACTTCAACCATCTCCATTGATTGTGTTAGAATCATCGCATTCTTCGGTTGCATGCTTCCTTCTATCCCCACAAAGTGGTACTCAAGCTGTTTTTGCTGCATTTGGTGAAGTTCCTCCAGTTCATACAACTCAAGTATCAGCACCTGTTGTCGATCCTCCAGTACAATAAGAGTATGCCTCTACTGTTCAATTAACAGTACATCCGTCTCCATTTGCAGTATTTGAGTCCTCTCACTCTTCAGTAGCATGTTTGAGTCCATCCCCACATTGGACTAAACACTGTGATTTATCTGTATTGGGAGTTGTTCCTAAAATTCATTGAGTGCAAGTATCTTGAGATACATGAGATCCCCCTGTTCATGCCCACATAGGCTCGATAACTCATAAATTAGATCACCCGTCTCCACTAACTGAATTACCATCTTCTCATTCTTCGCTTGCATGTTGTCTGGTATCTCCTCAAGCTATTTGGCAAGCAGTTTTCCCTGCATTTGGTGTTGTTCCAAGAGTTCAATACTGTCAAGCATCTTTAGTGGTGAGAGTTCCTCCATCACAGACTGCCCAAGTCTCAATAGTGCAAGTAGAGCTGCATCCATCATGGCTGAGTGTATTGTTGTCGTCTCATTCTTCTGGAGGAAGTCTAAATCCATCTCCACAATTTCTCTGGCAAATTGTTCTAGTTGGATCGGGAGACATACCTCCTGTGCAATTATTTCACGTGTCTGAAGTCAGGTTGGTCCCTCCATTTCAAATAAAGTTGTATTCTATTGTTCAGTTTGCAGCTCATCCATCATTTGCAACAACGTTACCATCATCTCATTCTTCGTAAGGATGTCTTAATCCATCACCACAGTTTACTGCTCATAAAGATTTATCATGATTAGGAGTCATTCCACTTTCTCATCCTTTACAAGTATCTGGATTTAATCCGTCACCTCCACTTCAAACATAATTTGTTTCAATTGTGCATGTGTTTGAACATCCATCTCCATTTGCTGTATTACCATCTTCTCATTCCTCAGAAATATGTTTTCTTCCATCTCCTCAAACTGTAATTCAAGCGGTCATAGCACCATTTAAAGATTGTCCATCTTTGCAGACAGTTCATGTATCTGGAGCTGTAACTGTCCCTCCGGTTCAGAAGGATGAAGCTTCAATAACACATCCTAATGTTCATCCATCATCATTTTCTGCATTTCCGTCATCTCAGGCCTCTGATGCATGCTTTTTACCATCACCTCATTGTGCAGTACAAGCAGTCTTATCTGCATTTGCAGATGTTCCTCCAGCTCAAACAGTACATGTATCTGCTGTAGTTGTAGTTCCTCCTGAACAAGCAGAATCTGCTTCAATCACTCAAACTGAACTGCATCCATCACCATTTGCTGTATTTCCATCTTCTCATTCTTCAGAAGAATGCTTTCTACCATCTCCTCAAATAACAGATCATGCTCCAGTAATAGGATGGACTGATGTTCCCCCTGTTCACCCTATTCAAGTATCTGGAGTTGTATCAGAGCCTCCTGATCAGTAGTAATCTGCTTCTACAGTACAAGTTGAAGTACACCCATCGCCATTGTTTGTGTTTCCATCATCTCAAGCTTCAGAAGCATGCTTTTTACCATCTCCACAAATAGTGATTCATGCAGTTTGCCCAGCATTTGGAGAACTTCCTCCTGTTCAAACACTACAAGTACTAGGAGCAGTGGTACTTCCCCCATTTCATATTCCATTTGTTTCAATAGTTCAACTGCTGGAGCATCCATCAAAGCTAACTTCGTTACCATCATCTCAAGCTTCTGAGGCTACTTTAAAACCATCTCCTCAATTTATCTGGCATAAAGTCCCTGTTGGATCAGGAGAAGTTCCTCCTGCTCAGACTGTTCAAACATCGATTGAAGTAAGTGAACCTCCTACACATACACTGTTAGCCTCAAGCAGTCAAGTAGATGAGCATCCATCCCCGTCAACTATATTTCCATCATCTCATCTTTCTGAATCAGCGACTCTGAGTCCATCACCTCATTGGACTTGTCAAACAGTTTTAGTAGGGTCTGGAGACTCCCCATTAAGGCATAATGTGCATGTATCTGTTGAGGTTGTGGTTCCTCCAGAGCAAATATATAAGGTCTCGATCATGCAGGCCGAACTTCATCCGTCAGAATTTGCAGTGTTTCCATCTTCACACTCCTCACTCGCATGCTTTCTGCTATCTCCTCATAATGCGACACATGAATCTTTTCCAGTATTCGGAGATGTTCCAGCTGTTCATAAGGTTCATGTGTCAGCTGTAGTAGTAGTTCCCCCAGTTCATGCATAATCGGTTTCAATAGCTCAAGCATTACTTCAACCATCAGAACTTCCTGTATTTCCATCATCACATTCTTCAGAACTATGCTTTCTTCCGTCTCCTCATTGTGTTGTACATGTATCTTTTGCAGCATTTGGTGAAGTTCCTCCTGTTCAGTATGTACAAGTATCTGCTGCAGTTGTAGAGCCTCCAGTTCAAACAAAATCTGTCTCAATCGTTCAAGTATTACTTCAGCCATCTCCTCCAACAGAATTGCTATCATCTCATTCCTCTGCACCTGCTCTAAATCCATCTCCACATTGTATACTTCAAGTTGAATTTGTAGCATCTGGACTTGTTCCTCCAGTACAAGCAGTTCAGGTATCAGCTCCTATAGTTGATCCTCCTGTACAAATATAAGTCGCTTCTACATCTCATGTTGCGTCACAACCATCTCCTGCAGCAGTATTCCCATCGTCACAATTTTCGGCAGGGTTTAAAAGTCCATCTCCTCACTGAATTTCTCATGCAGTTTTTCCTGCATTTGGACTAGTTCCTCCTGTGCATTGTGTACACGTATCCTGAGATGTTGGACTTCCTCCAATTCAATAGTACCCTGCCTCAATCGTGCAAGTTGCACTACATCCATCTCCAGGTGCAGTTCCATTATCATCACATTCTTCAGGGGCTTCTCTTAAACCATCTCCTCAAGTGACTTGCAAATGTCTGGTTGAAAAATGCTGTGGGGCTACTTGCAATAAATCTTCCTCTTTTAAAGTTACCGTTATGCTCTTATCGCTCTTTTCCCTCTATAATCAATGATCAGTTTTGACTCAATTATAAATAACCTATTTGTGGAAACACTTTGGGTTTGACAAATGATCGTTTCAGCTAATTTCCCTTATTTATAGAATGATGGTTATATTTCAATAGAAATATTATCCCAAGGTCTTAGTTTAAGACCTTGGCACTCTTTTTTGGAATAAAAGCGAGGTTATAGTGTTTAGGATTAATTTATTTGGGTTTTAATTACTCTGGGTAGATAAAAAACGACTGAAGCAACAAGAGCAGTTGATATTAAAGCTATAAATGCTATTATCCGCCTCATTTGCGTAAATTAAAAATATTATAATCTCAATCTTTATTCTCCTTTTAGGGGTTTTGGGGTTTTGGGGTTTTGGGGTTTTGGGGTTTTGGGG